TCTCTCTCTCTCTCTCTCTCTCTCTCTCTCTCTCTCCAGTATATTTATTAAAGAAACAGATCGAATAGCCCAAAAGAGCCAATAAAGTAATTTTCTTGTCCTAATATGGAAAAGTGTGAAAAGGGGGAGTCTTGAATCCCTTTCAAAAACAAGGAGACGTTTGTGGTGCCTCTGGTTCATTTAATCTCTCTCTCTCTCTCTCTCTCATTTTAATTTATTTCTCCTCCCCTCCACCTTGATGTGGAGGCAAAACCCAGAAAAGCCCACCTTTCCCGTCTCCAGAGAGGCTGGATTGACCACTAAGGGTTTCTATTCTCACCTCCCTGAGGTAAATTCCCTTCTGTGAGGCACATGGGAGGCGGGGCTTGGCTGGGAGAGAGGCAATTGGTGGAAGGGGCTGCCCTTCCCAGGTGCCCCGAAACCCCATTGGCCAATGAGCGGAACGTCTCTCCCACCTTCCCCTCTCACCTATTTTAGGCGGGAAAGCGGAAGCCATGCCCCCAAAATGGAGGGGAAGGCTTTGCGTCGCCTCCTCAGAGGGCTCTTTGGCCCCCTCAGGTCACAAACTCGCCTCACCAGGCCTTGCGATGCCTCATTGCTTCTTTTTTAGAGCTGCTTTCCTAAAAAACTGACCCCAAACCGCTAAAAATCTGTATTTTCAGAGACCACAAAAGCCCCCTCCTCTCAACACAAAAGACTGAATCATGCCTCTGTTAGGTCTCAGTGCAAAAGACTGAATCACACCTGTGTTCCTCTTGACATTTCTCATTTTAAAAGAACTTTTGTCAGTTTGCTTAAAATGTGGGGGTTGGCCCTGTGGAAGCCATTTCAATCAATCAATCAGTCAATTGATCAGTCAGAGGACAGTTGATGAACAAAGACCTCTCTACTCAGAAACAAGCTTGTTGGAAATAAACAATGCTAATATTTTAAGAGGTAATAAAATATATTTGAGTAGATTTGTTCCTGGATGAAAGAGAACTGTTTGAGTATTTATTTATTATTGGCGTCATCTATAAGTAAAGCCTAGAAGAGTTTTAGGAAACGCTG